AACTTCTCCCCATCTTTTGAAACTTCAATACTGTTCAATATTATTCTTTTTGACTCCACATGAAAAAGGAAACCATATTGTCAGAATTTTAATTGATACTAAAGGGAGAACTAAGAACTAAACTATTTTCTCAGGCTCTTTGTAGAAAGCTGTTTGCAGTCCTTTTGGATTCACATAGAATACTGAAGGCAGCTAGGTGCTGTAGTGGATAGAGCACTGGGCTTGGAATCAGGAAGTAACATCTTCATGAGTTTAAATTTACTCTCAGACACTTACTAGCTAAATGACCCTGGGCAAGTCACTTAACCCTGTTTCTCTGAGTTTCCTCATCTATAAAATGAGCTGGAGAAAAAAATGGCAAACTATTCCAGTATCTATGCCAAGAAAATCCCAATTGGAGTCATAAAGAATTGGACATAACTAAAACTAAATAACAACAAAAACAATAGAATGTTTAAATAATACATATATCTAAGCAGGCCTGAAAATTATGGCAGTAATTCTGCCTTCAACAGTCTTATAGGTCTTTGGGTAGCACAGTTGGGAAAGAATTTTATTTTTGAATCTTCATAGTTAAGCCTCAAAAGAGTGAAAAATGGAAAGAAAAATGTGAGGTCATTATCATTAATGGTAAAATCAACGTAAAGAAATATAAAGGTAAAATTAAAGTAGAAACAGTAATAGTTGAGTTATAAAGCACTAAAATATCTATAAAAAGTATAACTGAAATCTATAAAGTATAGCTGTATGTTAATATGAACTGTCATTTTAACATATAGTTTTTACACTTTAAGTGTGGATTACAAGGACTGGTTTTCTAAGAAAAGGGTAAAGAAGAATTTGAGACATGTAGAATTCTAAAATTAAGGAGACTATGTGTCCAGTGTATGTGTGACTGTCATGTTCTCTCTGCCAATGAGGAGCAATCTAAATAAAACTACTAGGAGTTTAGGTTCAGAATTCAATTGATAAAGAAATCTTTTACTGGACCCACCTGGGGGAAAATGGACTTGAAGAAAGGCATCAAGGAAGTCCAACTGTGTGATTCTAGGCCTGAAGCCTGGTGGCTCTTGCTCTATGACAACTCAATATGTGAAAATCCAAAGTTACACAAGTGACAAATTAAAGACTAAATGTTCACCTTGAAAAGAAATTCTTTGCCTTATGAAGTATTTTATTTTATGACAAATGATTCTTATCTATATGCCTATTATGTTATTATTTTTAGTGGAAAGATCAGCCTCTTAATATCAAAATGTGATTACTTTATGACCAGAAAAACACAACTAATTTGTGACTACAGATCTGTGGCTGTATTGGTGAAAATTATGTATACCATCTAGGAGCACCCTACCACTTGTATGTATATTACCTCCAGACAAGTTATCCTATGCTCAAAATATTGTGTGGGTAATCAACCACTCAAAATTATGCCTTTTATGACCTCACTTACATGGAACACTCTGTGATCCAGTGACATTGGCCTAGTTACTGTTCCTCACACAAAACACTCCATCTCTTGATTTCAAATATTTTCCTTGGCAATATCCCATGCTTGGAATTCTCAGTTTCCTCTTCTCTGTCTTTTGGCTTTGTCAAAGTCCTAGCTAAAATCTTACTTTAGACAAGAAGCCTTGATACTTTTTAATTCTAGTGAGTTCCCTTGTTGATTATTACCAATTTGTCCTGTATGTATCTTGTTTTATATAGTTGCTTTCATGTTATTTCCCTTACTAGAAGCAGCTAGGTGGCACACTAGATAGAGTGCTGGCCTGGAGTCAAGAAAATGAGTTCAAATCCAACTTCAGATACATGTTAGCTGCATGACTCTGTGAAAGTTATTTAATCTGTGTCTGCCACAGTTTCCTCAAATTGGGAATGATAATAGTAATAGCATCTTCCTACCAGGTTGCCATGAAGTTCAAATGAGATATTTGTAAAGTACTAAGATCAGTGACTGGCACATCGTTGGTGCTCATTTCCTTGTTTCCCACTAGACTCTTAACTCTTTGAGAGCAAGAACCCTCTTTTGCTTTTTTTTATATCCCCAGTACATAGCACATATTTGGCATGTACTCAGCACATCGTTGTCACTTAATGAATGGTTATGAGATGAGGGCAGAGGAGCTTTGGAAAAGCTTATTCTCAAAGGCTAAGACACAAACACTTTTTGAATTTATCTTTAAATCTAACTGTACATTTAAAGATAGCATTTTATAGCAGAATGAGGTGTCAAAGAAAGAATAATACCTAGGTAATATAATTGGCATGTATGACCATAAATAACTTCAGAATTCTCTGTAATATCTATATCATTTTCCTTTCCTTTTCATTATTATAACTCAAATATTTTCTCCTCATTTTGCATAGCCAACTGAAAAATAAAACAAAATATTATTTATTATTTTTAGAAGGAAAAGGAAAAAAGGAAATGACCCATATTCTTTATAGTACAAGGAAAACAATAATATAAGGTTGTAAATTATAAGCAGGAAAGGATTTCAAAGGCCATCAATTCTAAACTCATTTTTACAAATGAGGAACCTGAGACCTAAAGAGGTTAAATGATCTGTCAAGTCATATAGCCAATAAGGATCTAATTTGAAATGTTTACCCAGATCTGCATGATGCCAAAGTTCTGGTTCATCTTTACTATACCATGCAACAAAACCAAACAAAACCCAATAAAAATGAAAAACAAAAACATGGTAGTGTGTACCAGTTACTTAATGCTAAGCCTTATTGAAACAAGAAAAGAACTAGGGATGCTCTTGGCCAGGGGAATTGCATAACTCTGAAAATGAAAAAAAATAAGTTCATATGAATAAAAGGTTCTATTCCACAAAATTCACTTCTTTTCGAGGATAGTTTACACCTACAGTTTGGCCTCTTTTCTGCATCTCTTCTCTCCTATTTACCTTTAGATTATACAACATACTCCCCATCATCTATCACAATCCACTAAAATGATCATTCATTATGCTAACAGACTTTTATTCTTGGGCAGGAAAGAAACCAGTTTATCTCCAGTTATTGTCACTAACAATAGATATAGAAAAGAAAGATCATTTCTGAAGTTGAAAATTTAATTAAAAGAGGGCATGCATTGAGAGGCAGAATGTTGAGTGGATAGAGGGCTGGCTTCAGAACCAGCAAGACTTGAGATTCAGTCCTGCCTCTGACACATATGCTGTCTGTGTGACCTGGGGCAAGTCACATAATCTCTCAAAGTTTGAGCAATCTCTTTAAGACAATGAGTTTTAGAGAAGGTGATGGCCTGCATGCGTAGAGAATTCCCTTATATAAAAGATCCCTGTGTCAGTGAAATTACCAGTCTAATCCCTATCCTTATGGTTTAGATTCTCTTTCCTTGTTTCTAAGTAGAAAATAATGTTTTGATAAGGGTTATTTGAACGAACTCTTTGAATGTGTATACACACATGCTATATATACACACATATACACTGGGTCTGTATATGTGTATGAATATATGCATTCGTGTATGCACATATATACTCTCAT